CCGTAGACCCTTTTGCCGCTTGCCGAAAACCAAGTACCCTCAGTACTGATGCAGATCATCTGACTCTGGCATCTTCTGCACCTCTTCACAAGGTCCTTGACTACATTATGTTCCTGAAACAACAAGGTCTGTCAGTTTCATCACTCAAGGTGCACCTCGCTGCCCTCGCAGTGTTCCACCCTCCGATTGACAGCATCTCTATATTTGCTCACCCTATGTCTAAGAGATTTCTCAAAGGCCTACATAATCTCAGTCCGCTACATAGACCTGTTCCACCCACCTGGGATTTGGAATTGGTTCTTAAGGCACTTTCCAAACCACTGTTTGAGCCCATGGCCAAATGCACGCTCCACCTGCCTACAGTAAAGATGCTTGCTGCTCTCAGCATCACCGCCCTATGCGATTTTTCACAAAGACAAAGTCATCTTTTGACCCCACCCTTCCTCCCTCCCTCCCTAAAGTATGTTCGTATTTCCCTATCAATGAGCCTATCGTTCTCCCTACCTTCTGTCCAAAGCCTTATGCTTCCCGGGAGGAGGTGTTTTTACATACCCTGGATGTCAGAAGGGCACTATTGTTCTGTATAGACTGTACCTGACCATTCCACAAATCACAGACTTTATTTGTCTCAGAGGCAGCACATGCCAGGGGAAGTCCACTCTCAGTGCAATATCTCACAAAATTGATAACATCCTGCATCATTCAGTGTTACCTACTTCAAGGTAGACCTCTCCCTAGCGCGCCCCCCCCCCCCAGCACATTCTACTTTAGCGATGGCAACACCCACAGCCCTTCCTCATGGGAGTACCGCTCAGAGATAACTGCCGGGCTGCTACCTGGTCTTCCAACTTAACTGTCATGAGGCCCTACGCCATTTCCACGCGAGCAGACACAAGCTCTGCCGTAGCTGACGCAGTCCTTCCATCTGCATTCAAGACATAGTCAAAGCCCACCTGCTATCTTGGGGGTACCTCTGTGTAGTCACCAATAGTGGAGCACCCACAGGGACATCACTCGAAGAAGAAAAAGAAGTTACTCACCCTGTGCAGTAATGATGGTTCTTCGAGATTGTCCCTGTGGGTGCTCCACAGACTACCCTCCTTCCCCTCTTCTCTGGCTTGGCCATGCAAGAGGGCAAACATGAAGAAACTGAGGGAACTTGGGCAAAGTATGTGAACTCCATGGCTACGTCTACACTGGCCCCTTTTCCGAAAGGGGCATGCTAATTTTCAACTTCGTAATAGGGAAATCCGCGGGGGATTTAAATATCCCCCCGCGGGATTTAAATAAAGATGTCCGCCGCTTTTTTCCGGCTTGTAGAAAAAAGTAGGAATAAGAGATCCTCCGGAATAGGGCTTTATTCCGGAGGATCGGGCCAGTCTAGACGCTCTTTTCCGGCTTTTCTACAAGCCGGAAAAAAGCGGCGAACATCTTTATTTAAATCCTGCGGGGGATATTTAAATCCCCCGCAGATTTCCCTATTACAAAGTTTAAAATTAGCATGCCCCTTTCGGAAAAGGGGCCAGTGTAGATGTAGCCCATAGGTGCAAACAGCACATTCCTCCCCTCACCCCGCCTGTGCATGCTCAGCCTGACTGCATACTGCTAGAAAAAGACTCCAGTCTGTGGCACTAGGATGAGCATGACGCCAACAGTGGAGCACCCATGGGGACACACATCTCGAAGAACCGTTGTTACTGCACAGAGTGAGTAACTTCCTTATCTCTGCATTAATGGGTCCCATACAGCGTTCCCTCTAAGCTGCGTAGCAGCAGCTTCATTGGTGATTTGTCAGCTCCCTGCACGGAGCCCTGAGCCTCTGACTGGGTGGGGCTGATTAATTGCCTGTGAAGCTGTGCTTCCTTGCAGCTTAGAGGGAACACTGGTCCCATGGTAACACTAGGGATATGGAAGGTAGAATAACCTTGTTCTAGTCCTGAAGATCATAGGTTCGAGTTCCAGAACAGGATTTGGGATTATTCTAAGTGCTTGCATAGCAGTATGGTGAAGGGGAGGTCCCTGCTTGTTTTCAGTGATGCACTGTCTTTGCCAACATATGCTCTGATCCAGTAAAGCATTAAAATGCCTGCATAACTTTAAGTAAGCAAGTACTTTTGGGGCTGATGCATAGCCCACTGAAGTCAACAGAAGCACGATTCCTGACGTCAGTGGGGTTTGGATCAGGCCCAGTGGTACTTCACATGCTTAAAATTGTGCATATGTTTAAATGCTGTGCTAGATCAGGGCCACGTTTTTAGTTTGAGACAGGTTTTAGTAACCGGTTTATTTACTCGAACACTAGCAACTCAGACGTTCAGTAAAGATAACTCTTTACTATGGAAATTAAGTCATAAGAAACTAATGGGAATCACTTTCTTGCTGCCTACATTTTCAAGGACACGTCAGAAAATCTGCCCCCTGTCGTTGCTGTCTACCTGACATCAGGCCCGACAATGGGAGAGGACAAGGGAGACAACTGCCCCTAAGACCAGTGAATCTAAAGGGCTCAGGGCTGTCTCTTGGCCGTAGCCATTGCCCCAGCAGCAGCAGCTGGGAGCCCCAGGTCCTTTAAATTGTCACTGGAGCACAGCACAATGTGCTCTTGGCAGCTCTACAGGCTGGGAGAGAGGCCTGTGTGGCCCCCGCCCTGCCCCTTCTGCCTGAGGTCCTGCCCCTTCTGGGAGCGGGAGCTGCCCCTCCCACCTTTCCCAGGGACCCAACACGACTGTTGGCTCCTCTGTCTGACACCTCAAACATTCCACACTGATGCTGAAAAGTTTGCCACTCCAGTCCATTGCAGCACGTCGGGATCTCTGATACAGACTTTCTACACACAACACAGTACATCAGAATTATTTATGGCATTACCTCTTTTATCCTTTTCCGAAAGGCCATTCAGCAGGCACAGTTAACGTGGCATGAAATGAACTATCGGCACCTTGCAGGAACTGGTGCAAGTTTTCTCTGTCTCTTACCTTCAAGTCTGAAAATCAAATTATTCTCCTGGATTTGCCAGCTATACGCTTCTGCGGTTATTTATTAATTATTTCTTTTTTTGCATTGTGGTGGTGCCCAGCTGCCTCAGATGTTGATCAGATCCCCAATGTGCCACGTATTGCACAATGCGATCCTAGGAAAGGATAGAAGTGTGGGAGGGAAACATACCCGAGCTGGAGTCCTCTTATATGTCTAAGTAGTTTTTTAAGTACATAAAACATGCCGGCTTCAATGGGATATTTTGGGTAAATGCATATCTAAGAAGACTAAAAAGAAGAATTTTCAAATTTATCCTCAAATGGATTATAAGTAGTTATTAGGCTAATATAATTACTTCTGTTGCTAATATCTTTGTAACTGATTTTTTTTTAAAAGTGGTGTTTTTTAAACCCCTTCATTCTTTAGAGCAGAGAGTTACCTGGACCAACAAGAAATGAGAAATCTTGGATCAGGTCCTCCACTGGTATAAAATGGTGTACCTTCATTAATTTAAATGGTGCTACACAGTTAACATTAGCTGAAGGTCTAGGCCATTTAAAAATAAGGGAGTAATCCTGGCCTCATTGAAACTGGGAGCCAAGACTCTTTGAAAGGAGCAAGGATTTCACCCCAAATGATTTGCCAGGGACCCAACAACATTCTTTATTGTAAATGTCATCATCTCCTTACAGCAAAGAACCGTGGGATAGCAATTCCGGTGGATTTAGACAGCCAGGTAAATACCCTCTTCATGAAGAGCCATTCCAACATGGTGCAGAGAGCGGCCTTGGGATGGAGAATGTCTGCCCGCAGTGGACCTCGTTTTAAAGAAGCACTAGGAGGCCCTGCCTGGGATTACAGGAATATCATTGAAAAACTGCAGGTATGGTAGCAAATGCTGGCTGCTGTGCGTGTGACCATGTGTTGTGTCTAGGTATGTTTGTGACATTAAGACTAACCCCAGGACAGAGATATCTAGCAGGGAGTGTCAGCTGGCCTGAGCAGCTCACTGTGGTTATAATCTGTATCTAAAAGGGGTCATGTAATATGCATGATGGTTTGGGGGAAATTTGTGTGAGGGGTGTGATTTCTAAAGCACAACAGCATGTTGTGCATTGGTTGACCTGTTGGCACAGACTAAAATTTGTAGACAAGAGGTGAGTATAAGACAAGAGACGACGGGTGGACACAGACAGACGGGGATGCAAGGCAGTGCTTTCAGCACAGTGGTTTCCTAACCATTGTCAAGTTTTTTGTTGTTGTTTTGTTGGCTCCAGGGCAAAGGAGAGTTTTGGAGGGCAGTTAAGGTAACTGAGCAAGTTGATGGGAACCTGTTCCCAGATGTTATGGGCAGCAAAGAAGAAAGCCTGGAGTTGCAGCTTTGGGAATGTAAGTGGGGGTGGTCAAACTAGCAACATGGGCTGATGGGATGCAGAACTGCAAATGACAGCAAATGTTCGTGCCATATTTTATTCACGTACTAAATCATTGAAGGGCAGTTGGAGCGACTCTTGCCATAACTGACCACCTTCTACTACTTTGTTTAGGATGTAGTCTCTGCCTTGGAGCAGCAGTTCACTCCCATGATGCAGGCTGAATTCTCAGTGTTGGTTGATGTATTGCATAGTCCTGAACGTCTTTTTCCTGAAGGCAGTGATGCAAGAATAAGATGTGGTGCTTTCTTGTTCAAGTAAGTGGCACAACAAGAGCCTTGTTGATTTATTTTTCTGAAAAAAAAGGGGGGGGGTGTTAACATTTCTAGAAGTGCACAAGTCCCATTTATAAAAGGCACTTAGGAGGCTGCTGATACTCTTTGTTTATACAGGTTGAACCTCTCTCATCTGGGACTCTCTAGTCCGGCAACATCTTTGGTCCGGTAGGCTAGACTAGAGAGCCCCTGCCACAGAGTGAGTGGCTGGGAGTGGAGCCGCTCTGGTCTGCTCAGCCCACAGGGCCTGGGTGTAGAGAGCCCCGGGAGAGACTGCTGCTCTGGTGGGGTAGGGGTCCCAGGAGCAGCTTTGGCCCAGGACCAGGTGGCTGGAGTCGGGGAGCCCCAGGAGCAGCTGCCACCCCACACACGGCCGGGGATAATGAGCCGAGCCCTGTGAGCGGGCAGGGGGCAGCAGAGCCAGGCATGTGGGCTGGAGGAGTTCAGGCCTTCGGGTTCTCCTAGGACAGCAGCCAAGAAAGGAGGCTCGGGAGAGCCCAGAAACCTGACCTTCTCTGATCCAGCAAATTCCCTTGTTCAGGACCACTCAGGTCCCAAGGGTGCCAGACTAGGGAGGTTCAACCCGTTTCTTCTTTGTTACAAAGTTCAGGTGTCCCATTAGTAAGGGAGTTGTATGTGTGACATGATTAACATGAAAACCTTTGTGGCTTGCTGAAATTAAGATCGCCTCAACTAATTGTCCCCAAATACACTGCAAGGTCTCACACTTTCTATATTACAGTGTGTGGTTTTAATTCCTATTCTTTTGGGGCATGCTGAGCTACCTTTTGATACAAAGTAAATAAGCCCTTTGGTTTTTATTTTAAATTGCAGACTCCAAAATCACTCTTTTTAATGTACATTTCAGTGGTTTAAAACCTTGCCTGGTTTTAAATTACAAGAGGTTTTATTTGCTGTTTGGAAAAGAGCTGTGAGATGCCCTTTTTGCCCTTGAGCAATGGTATAATTTTGAGGTGACTTGAGGGCACTGTGAAAATTTGGCAGGTTTCCTGATTCCTCAGCTTTTCACATATTCTGCACAGGTAGCATTATATAGTTCATACTTAAAAAAAATGACTGAATGTTGCATTTTTTTCCTCATGTGTCAAAGCTTTCACTGAGAGTCACTGGAAATGTTGAATGAGTAAAGACTGCAGGATTTGGCCTATAGTGTGCAAGGAATACAGGTTTTTTTTAAACAACTTATTATTACTCAGTGATACTTTGCAATACTTAGGGCCCTACCAGATTCATGGTCCATTTTGGTCAATTTCTCAGTCATCGACATTTAAAAATTGTAAATGTCATTATTTCATCTATTTAAATGTAAAATTTCAGTGATGTAATTTTACAGGTGCTGATCCAAAAAGGAGGGTGCGTGTGCGTGTGTGTGTGTGGTGTCCCAAGATTGTTTGTGTGGTATCGCTACTTTACTTCTGCCCTGATACAGGTGGTAGTACGGCTGTTAGAGCTGGGCATATGGAAAGCAGTGGCTGCTGGCCAGGAGCCCAGCTGTGAAGACAGAACCATTGCCAGCAGCACACAGAAGAATGTCAGAGTATGGTATTTCCACCCCTTACTTCTGTACTGCTACCTGCAGAACTTGACCCTCTGTCAGCAGCTTCCACTCTCTGGCTGCCCAGCTCTGCAGTAAGTGGTGCAGAAATAAGGGTGGCACTCGCTGGCCACCCAACTCAGAGGAAGCACAGGAGGATGGCAATACTGCAGTCCTCCTAAAACAACCTTGCAACCCCCTTCCCCCCCACACACACTATTTTGAGTTAGGCTCCCTTGTGAAATCTGTGTAGTATATGTTAAAAGTACACAAAACACTAGTTTTCATTGGAGGACAGGAGATTTCACAGTTCGTGACACATTTTTTCCCGGTCATGAATTTGTTAGGGCTTTAGCAATACCATATAAAGGACACTATTAATATGTAGTCATGCTAAATTGATTTGCATTTAGTCCACAGTGAGTTCCTCCCATGAACCTGGTCATCATTTGAATGATGGAAACTTCCAAAGAAATCCCAGCATGCTGCAGGAAATAATACTAGTACTGAACCCAGTGTGATAAGGGGCATGGTGTTCTCTTTTGAATTAGATGGAAAGAAGGATGCTTTATGCAAGAATGTGTGTGTTCACTCTAGTGTCCTTTTGCTAAATTTTTATTTGAGCAATGATGTTTTGCTTTCCTAAACTCCAGTTGCAGTTCTATGTGGATGCAGAATTCTGCTTTACTTCCTGCCCTCAGTTGCCCTGCAAAGTTACTGTGTACACTTCAACAACTGCTGCATTCTATCCAGAAATGACTGCAAAGTGATACTATTATAACCATTTAAAAATACCTTGGATCATTTTGTTGGAAGCCATTCTGTAGTTGTAGAATAAATATTATTGCTACCGTAAAAGTCCCTGTTAAAGTTTGTAAGATAAGTCATGGACGCTGCAGGCAACATGGTAACTTTTAGAAAAAGATAGGCCCAAGTGACAGAATTTGGATTCTAGTTTGGATTTCAAACCTTCTAAAAATTAAGATGTATTTGGATCTGGGACTCTTTCTGCTCATTATTTAGGCACCAGCAGCAAAATTAGATGCAGACTCCAAACACCCTTAAAGGCCAAGAGAGTTTGGGCTGGGGCTCATTTCTTTGTCATGGTATCTACCTGCTTTATTTGTATTTTCTTCAGGAAATATGGTAACAAATAAACAATTTCTGCATAAAGTGTATGTTATCTGGCTTGGAGATGGGGTGCAATACTCTATATAACGTCTAATGTTTTACTTGAAGGTTGATTAATCACACAAAGAAGCTAATGGAGAAAGAAGAAAAACTCTGCATTAAAATTCTTCAGACGTTACGAGAAATGCTTGAGAAGAAAGACAGCTTTGTGGAAGAGGTATTGCTACCTTTTTAGTATTAAAAATAAAGCTTTAATCTTGGCATACAGTATTGGCCCTAGAATTGAGCCGAATGTTATGCTTCTTAACTCCTCATGAGTTAAAGTACTACATTTGTTACATCAGGAAAGGGGGACTGAAGGTTACAATTTCCATGACACGCCGCATGGCCTGTTGCAGTCCACTTATCTACAATCAGTATCTGGAAAGCTCAGGGGATGTCTCAGCCTTAATGCACCATGATTAAGGCTATGATTATGTGATAGATGTCCCAGCAGTTCCCCTACCCCCGCAGCTCACAGTTGAAGGTATCCTCCAGGAGCTGTCTAGCTGAGGGCAGCTGGTGGCAGGGGGATACCCATGTATGCCTCGCCTTCAGCGGGGTGGGGAGATCCCACAACAGTTCAGCCCTGCAGGCCAGAGGTGCCCACAACTTCCACTCTCCACAGTGCCGGAGAATCAGGGAGCCCTAGTAGCAATTGGTGCTGAATCTGCCTCCCCATTTTGTTAGAGATATTTTTAGTGAAAATCAGGGACAGGTCACGGGCTTCCATGAATTTTTGTTCATTATCCGTGACCCTTCCATTAGTATTTTTACTAAAAGTATCCTTGACACAAATTTAGGCTTAACCATGCTAGTACTGTTTCCTCTCTGACACACTTTGGCTAGAGGTCAGAAGATTAAGGCTATCACAGCAACCTTACTACAAAACAATCAAAGACTCAAAAATCTAACTAAATTAAGAAAGAAAATTAGATTAAAACAAAAGTCTGCATAGCCTCTTGGGTCTTGTATACATACTTGGCAAGAGTCCAGCTAGGTAGGAACATATTGGGTTAGCTGTAGCAATGTAACACCATATATTTCTGGCGTGCTCTCTGATTTTTTCCACCGCTTAGTTCATTATTTCTCCTTCCTACCTGGGAACCCAGCTCTTTACAATCAGTAAACAGTTTTGATGCTAAAGATATGGCAGGGAGTATGTAATATTTACTCAGGTGTACCCCTTAAGGTAGGAGCGGGCAATAAGCAGCCTGTGATCCAGACACAGTTCACTAGGGCCCCAGGCAGGCCGCCATATGCTTTGTTTATCTGAGCATCCACAGAGACAGCTGCTTGCTGCTGCCAGTGGCTGTGGTTTATCATTCCAGCCAACAGGAGTTGCAGGAAGTGGTGGCCTAACCTGCGCCACTTCCCACAACTCTCATTGGTAGGGAACGGTGAACCACAGCCAATGGGAGCTGCGTGTGGCTGTACCTGTGGGTGCTCAGGTAAACAAAGTGTCTGGTGGCCTGCCAGGGGCTAATCTTGGCAAACCATATCTGTCCCATGGGCTGCTTATTGCCTACCCTTAACCTAGGGGGAAGCGGAATCATCTCTGTGCTCTCTACAACGCTTACTGTTTTGTTTATCTGCTAACATTCCCTTTGTTTAGCTCCAGAGTGGCTTCCTAATTTAATCTCTCAACATCTAGGTTTCAAATGCCTCCTTTAGTTTGCCTGCACCTTAGGGCCATGGTGATAGGTCCATGACTAGAGGCTTTAAAGTGATTCAAAACCCATCTCTCTTGACAAATTTTTTGTGCTTTGTATGGTTTCCGCTCACTGATACTTCTTATCATTCATTCTGCTTTATGTTAAAACGAATCAGAGTGATTCATTGATTTGTCAGAGAAATCATTGACCTTTGTCCATAATCAGCACCTATAATCCAGTATATACATTGGAATCACTTTAAGAAACATTGACCTCAAGTGACAATTTTCCCTTCTCCTTGCTCCCATGCTCCAGTATGTACAGATTTTGATGTGATGCTGGTCATCCATTTCACAGTATCTAGCAGAATTAACAACACTCAGGATATACCATATAGTTTAATTTTTAATATAAAGCTCCTAATGATGAAGGGAAGAATTTTGTGAGTATCAAGATGGATGCATATTTCTAGGTGATTTGTATTTTTCTCCTTAAGCTCCATGTCTCAGTGCTGTCATAGGAATGTGATAAGACAAGCATCTTTCAATTTCTTCTCTAATGATAAGCCACATATTAGGAATATGGCCCACCCACAGTGCATGTGTTTTGGTCATTCACTGTTTTAATTTCAATATACGGCCATAAAAAGGACATTTTTGCCCAGGCTCTAGACAGCCTACTAGATAGGTTTAAAAAAACCCTAGTCAAACCAAGACAAAAACAGCAGTAAAAAAGCAGTGATTTTTCTCTGCACAAAAACAAGCTGTCCACGAGTGAACTCTCCTCCTTCTCATCTCCTGCAAAGAAGTTTACTTCAGGAGCAATTTACTCAGTCCATGGCAGATAGTGATTTGTCTTGGTGTCATGGCAAAATTTTCATGGCTGAATCAGGTATTATTGTTTTTAGTCATTTTTATTTCAACTGTTTTACTGCATCCTCCCCACAAGTCACATGTTAACAACATTTTCTTTTGAAACTGTTCCCATTGGAGAAACCATGCTAAGCCTTTCCAAAATAGCCAGATAACCACCAGAAAATAAAACCTCAGAAAAACAAGGAAAGAGAAGACAATACCTTGAGTTATAGATATTCAGTAAAAGCTTGTCTGATAAAATAAACCTTTTACCCGACTTTGGTGGGTGATACAGTGGGATTAATACAAACCACCAGAGGGAGTTAAGTGACAGCCTGGCTTCCAGTCCTCAAGAATGCACATCTGAGTTCAGCAAATGCTGCTCAGTTGTGCATTTGTTATCCTGATGGTGCACGAGGAGATGGTACATATTAATGTTTTCAGACCACTTCTCCCCCTCCCCCCATGCTGTTCTTTCTGAGACCTGTGAATTTTATAGTGGAGAAGGATAATAAACCAAATCATGTGAATTACTGTGTGTTTTTTTTCCCTACTGTAAGTCTTTTCCTCACTTACCACTCTTGAGAGTCACAGCCAGGGCCAATTGGGAGTAGGGGGCGGGGGGAGGACGGGAAAAGGCAGGAAGGCCATTTGACATGGGCCTCAAGCTCAAAGGGGTCCTCAAATTTAGACACTTGTTAATTTTTTGCCATTTGATAAGTTTCACAATTGGTTTTATGCACATTTGTGCAGAAAAGGGCTAGAAAAGCATTTGTTAAATAAAAAATATTCAAATTCTGTCTGTCAGGTTTTTTGGGTGCCTTGTTTTGTTTTCATGTGTCATCGTTTTTTATTTTTATTATGGCAAGGGGCCACAAAAGCTTGAAATGGCCTGAGTCTCTCTGAGCTTTTGAGAGGAACTGGTGACAGCTTATGCTACAGACTTCAGAAAAGAGAGAAATAGCAGAGTGAGCTGTCTTTGGAGCACTCTCCTAGTTTTCCGTGAAACATTATATCCCTGCACATGCGGTTCTATTCTGTTGTATAATTGAAATGCTGAGAAACACAGAATTAGGGTTCATGGGGCCAGATCAACTTTTGACAGCAAAAGGCCCAATTGTGTGTTAATCACAAGTCTGTTCTGTACTGTGCTGGATTTTGAGCATTAGATTTGGCACAAACCAAAACATTTTTCAGTTTAAGTTCATTGCAATGAGAAGCAGGAGAGCACCATAATGCAAACTATTGATTAGTTGTATTTATCTGGCCCCCATTACTTCAGTAACTGAGCACCTCATCATCTTAAATGTACTGATCCTCCCCTTTCTGTGGGGGAGATAGACCATTATTAACTGTTTTATAGAGGAGGAACTGATGCACAGAGAAACTGACTGTCTTTTTAAACTCTCTTTAGAAAATTAAGAGATTGATTTCTTTTTATTTCTTCCATCCTTCCCCAACCGGCTTAACACAAATGGTGTTGAAACTATAGATGTTGGTATATGTTCATTAGAACACCTGTACAACACAGCAAGTTAAAGAGGTGAGGTGGTGGTCTGTAGTGTGTTGGTGTTCCTAAAATGATGACAAAATGCTGGGAGGGTTTATGGCAAAATTTCCCACAGTGAGAGGGAGGGTTGACAGACTTGCCAGGCCCCTAGGTAAGCCTGGGAGCCAGGCTCTGTGTACCTAGAAGGTGAAGGGCCTTGGTCCGAAAGGGCAGGGCTGGGCCTCCCTCCAATTCTCAGAGTTGGTAGTGGCAACAACAGCCAAGAGCCCTAGGTTCTTTTGAGTCATTTGGCCCCGGGGCAACTATCCTTTGACTCCTGACCATGGGCCTGTCTCAAGGTGCAGGATAATATTCATGGTGTGGGAAGGCATCATGCAGCATGTATGTATTTAAACTGGGAAAGCCTTTACAAACATGTGAAGGGGTTGACCGGAGAACACTCTGTTTCATTTTCCTGAAAGTTTGATTTGGGGGAACTGCAGTCGTAATGGGATATAAAACTTCTTGGTCATTAAATTTACTTTGATAATGACAGAAAGCTCTGACCAACCTAAGTCTCAGTTCAACATGTGGTGATTCACTAACGAAACTAGCACCTTTCTGATGGGGTATGAAAACTAAGCTCTCCTTTCACTTCTTTAGGCAACCTTTATGGGGCAATGTTTAGGAAGCTTGTGCTGCAGTTGCCTGTGCTGGAATTGTGTGTTGGGTAAAATGGACTTCAATTTCCACAAGGTTTTTGTTTTTTAAAGAGGGAAACAGGTGAAAGATAACAGGATTTTGTATTAGCTCTGTCCTCTCAAAGTTTTAATTTGAGTTCAGCTAAGCTTTACGTGAAATCTGAGGTGAATTCTTATTCCAGACACAGTTCCGCCTCTGTTGTTGAATGAGTAAAATTTTCAAAAGCATCTAAGCAACTTAGGCACATCCCATTACCAAAAACATCTATGTGATCTAGGAGCCTTGTCTCAGTGACTTTCAAGGGAATCCTAAGTGAACTAGGTGCTTCTGAAAAATTTACCCTCTAATCATCTGTGTAGGTGATGTGACCATACTGTGATAATATATGGCTGTGTCTACATTGGAACCCTTTTCCAGAAAAGGGATGCTAATGAGACAAGTCGGAATTGCAAATGCCGTGGGGGATTTAAATATCCCC